CAAACCAAGAATACTATTGTCATTGAGGAGCTTAAGCTAACATACCTGCCTTATGCCCTAGGATTCTAAGAAATTATGTTGATGCAAGCTTTTTGTCTGTACTATAAACTACCTATTTATTAGATCTATAGTAATTTGCTTGGTTGACAAGTAAAACATCTGATTGGGCTCATTATGTGAACTGCATTACAAAATAAAGTTTAGAATACCACTCTCAGAACTGGAGTATAAAGATTCAGATGCTGCTGTGATATGATAGCAAAGAGTGAATTTTTTATATCTCCCTTTTGCTGTCCCACAGTCCTAATCTTTATAATCCAGTTTTGCAGCCCTAGTTCTGTCTTAAGAGAGCTTGCACAGTTCAGAACAATTTTTATGGCTCAGAGCAATAGAATCATTTGTTCATTTTTATATCACTATTGCACAACCTGTAATTTCTCACTTAATGTTTTGTATGAAATAAGGCAAGGTTCAATTAAAGGAGATGCCTGAAGCATGGAACCCTGAACCTTGCAAAGTTAGTGCTTGGAAAAAACCAGAAAGCAGGAAAGGGATGCATTTTTAAAAACATCCTCAGGCATTGTAAACTAGGGAAACATTCTCAGTTTTACTAGTCACTACAATGTAAATCATTGTAACAGTCCAAGCAGAGGTGGTATTCAGCCAGTTCTGACAGGTTCTGGAGAACCGGTAGCGGAAATTTTGAGTAGTTCGGAGAACTGGTAAATACCACCTCTGTTTGGCCCCGCCTCCATTTATTCACTGCCTCCAAATCCCAGCTGATCGGAGTCCCAGATGATCGGCTGGGTCTTCTTTTGTTGCCCTGCACAGGAGAACGGAATTGGAAAGCAGGTTAGTGGGGTGGGGAGGGAATGGGGATTTTATAGTATCCTTCCCCTGGAGTGGGGTGAAAATGGAGATTTTGCAGTATCCTTCCCCTGCCATGCCCACCAAGCCACACCATGCTCACCAAGCCATGCCCACAGAACAGGTAGTAAAAAAAATTGAAGACCACCACTGAGTCCAAGTCAATGATTTGGTCTGATTCTACAACTTATACATGAATAACCCCTCTTATTCTTTTGAGTTTATAAAATGTAAGACATAGGACACAGTACAGAATTTCAAAATCAGAACTACTGGGTAGGAAACTAAATAAACACAATAAGGTGATTCCTTTTCACTTGGAACATAGTGGAGCAGATGTCCAAATGTTGCAACTCATCCCATAAAGAAGGATGGAGAAATAAATAAATAATAGCTACTCACTGTTGAAAAAGGTGAAAAACAGAGCCTTGTTGAAAGGGGAGCTCAGTCCATCAAACCTAGGGCTCAGAATTCTGAGGGCCATAGAGCAATAAGAAGCCCTAAATGAAAAAAGAGGATATTGTTGATATTAGTTTCTATTAACTATTAACTGGGGCAACGTCTACAGACTGACTCAAGAACAGGCTCAAGGGAATTCAGCTCACACCCTGTATCCTCTGAGAAGTTGTGTATAGGATTACAATTTAAGAATCTTGCAGCCTTCTACAGGCTTAACAAACTTCCTAATCTGTATATGATGGGAGTTCTTGTTGTTGGGGATGTATTGCTTGGAACCTTGACAGATATAACATTTCTGGACCTAATATAACACATAGTCTGAATGTCTCTCTACTTACAGGTTGTAGTAGGCAAAGTCCCTGATCTTTGTTATAGCCTTCATGTGAGAGTACACAAAACTGGCAATATGGAGATTCTCCTCATACAGCATTGCATTGGCCATGGCTATTACTACAGGTTGAGGAGGGACACTGTCTAGGAGGGCAATGCAAGCCATTATTCGAACGGCCTCACAACGTGAAACATCCATAAAGATCTGAAGGAGAAAACCTTGAACCTAGAGGAAGCAAAGGAAGAAACAAATGAATGTGGAGCTCAGCTAAT